TTTTAAAGTCGATAAGCTCAATCGAAATATTCAAACAAACTCTACAAACCGGCTCCGATAAATTCATTTGAGAATTCAGAGACTTATGCAAAGCCACTTGTTAATGCAAGAAAAGTAAACAGTGGTGAATATCTTACATTCAGCTGTGCCTAACATTGAGTGTTGTAAAATGGTTTTACGATTGCAGTTGCTTTTTAGAATGTAATGAAAATTTCTAATATGTGACACCTATAAAAATATTTCATATTATTGAAAACACTTTTAAATATCTGTTGTAAATATTTATTATTTTACCAGCGTTTATCACTTGTCACGTAATTATGTTTTTTTTTTCTTGCTTCTGAGAAGACCCGCTGAATACTAATTAACGCTGGACCATTAGTTAGTTGCTGTCTGTACTTCGGTTTTTGTATCACGCTAGATGGCGCTGTGCTGTTTATTGAGTTCGCATAGATATAACAATATATGAGATTTCAAAATTATGACTTCATTATTAATTATTATTATTATTAATTATTATTAATTAAAACACTTTTGAATATCTGTTGTAAATATGTATTATTTTACGAGCATTAGTCGCTTTACATGTAATTATGTTTTTTTTCTCTTGCTTCTGAGAAAACGCGCTAAAAACTAATGGACCGTGGACCATTAAGTTAGTTCTTGTTTGTACTTTGGTTTTTATATCACGCCAGATGGCGTTGCGCTGGTTAATATGTTTACCACATATATAAAGTAGAAAATAAATTGTTTAAGTTTTATTCAACTTAATTTATTTTATAAAATATAAATTTTGCTGCAGATTTTATATAAAATAAGGTAAATAAGGTAACATCAAAACAAAGCACAGATAAGAGTTATATGTATATATATACGATATTAATGGATAATGTATTTAAAAATGAGAAAATTCTGTAAGAGTAATACAAGCATGCAGGACTCAACTTGTTAAATAGAATACGTATATTATTGGTGATATTGATTAAATATATCGATAATGCCAGTATCATATATGTAATTGTTCGTATGTTTCTAAGTAAATATGTCCATCACTTATTATACACAAGGTATCTCAAAGACAATACTAATCATAAGAACAATGTATCAAAATGAATATGATCCAAGTTTCATAAAATCAAATTAATTACCTTTAAATTACTTGTATATGATGTCACAGATCTAGACCAGTGAAGTTAATACGTTTTTTTAACATATTATAAATTTATCTGCAAACACAAGGTCTGATATATTTATGAGAAATTTATTTGTTTTTCATCAATTTTTTCTTCAAACTAATTATATCAAAAATTGTGTTTAATATTAGAACCAAAAGTAAAAAAATTTAAAAAGAATATTAATCAGAGTTTAAAAAATAAACATATTCAATACCGTATTTTTTAAAATAAACATCTGTGCGGTCTGCAAATTGTTAATATTTTTTATTTAAACGATCTAATTTTTGTATTTTTCATTTTAATTATTTTCCTTTATTTAAATATGTGTAGGGTAACAAATTAAGTTGCTCATTTTGTATACATATAAATATATATCATAAACTGGTACTCACTTAAAATCTTATAAATTACACTTATTTAATATGTATATAATAAAACAAATGCATAACATTTAACATTCACTTAAAATATATTCACCTGAAAATAGTGACTCGAAGAAATATGTGTTTACTTAATATAAATTAGTTCTTAATTAATTAAATAATAAGTTCTTAATTAATTAAATAATTAATTCTTAATTATTCATATATTGAGTTTTTTGTTAATTAAAGTATTAGTTTGTAGATGTATTTCTTATTTCTAGATAAAAATACAATACATGTATATGTGTACATAAACATTGTACATTAATTAGTGTATAATATAGAAACAACGCTTATGCAATAATTACAATATATAATTAACTAATATATTTATTATTTACCCAGTCTTTGATCACGCTTAGTTGTTAAATTTTCTGTTTAAAAATTAGTAGTTCACATAACGTATAAATATTTATTTTAACCACATATGCTATATATTTTTCTAAAAACAATTAATTATAATTTAAATAATCACAATTAACCCAGTAAAATATAATAACTGATTTACTTACATCCAATACAACAATTATAATTATTTTAGGTTTGTAATTCATTTCTTTTATAATTATTTATACATATATTTGTTGCACATAAGCACTTTCTAATTTTCTAGTTAATTTTGTGCTTAGTTGTGCTTTAGACACTTAAGTACTCAGTATTGTTAAGTTTAACTTACTCTTAATTATATATAAAATCTTCACACTAAATAATTTATGTATTGTTAGAAACAAATTAACGGTAATAGATAATATAGTGTCACAACATCACACGGAACACATTTAACATATATACATCTATAAATATATATGCATTTTGATTATTATTTTCATATACGCCATCTTACGCCAATTTAACAAATCAATAAATTAATGCGATAAAGGACTAAACATAATTACTGGTTAATATTGTTTTTCAGATTTGTTTGTGAAAATGATGCTATCGTACTTAGGGATACGTGCTGTATTTCCAAAAATAATAATAGTACTCATTTCATCTACATATGTTTGTGTATATGAACCTCGGCTTATTAGGTATTCTAAGGCATACGTACGCACGTACGCACGTATGTATATATGTAATTTAAGTAATATAAAATATAGATATAGTCAAAAAAATAGTAACGCTCGGATATTTATTGAGGTAGTTTTTATAACAAATTGTTTTTGTTTTGTTGTATTTGAGTTTTATCGAAAGAAATTGGACTTTGAATATATGTATTGAATTTGTCAAGTAATCAATTGCTGTAATCATGGGAGAGAAGGATACCTCTGAAACCCTTTATTTTTTTAATATATTATTTTATATTTTAAAAAAATTTAAATATTGTTTATATTTCTCTTATTAATTTATTATATATATATATATATATATATAAAGTCATGCATGGGAAAAGGAAACCTATTGGTCACAGTAGTATCTCAGCGCCACTTTTACACCTACTTCTCGGCAAGCCCATGCTTGAAAACTAATTTATTATATAAAAATTTTTTTTTCGAAATAAATTTTATTTTCTACGCGAATACTTTTTAAACATTGTTGTATATTTTTAGTTCCCTATTCGTGGCAAGTGTATAGAAATCTGCACATGGTACTTTAGTGCCTTACAATATTCTATTTTTCTAATTTTGAATTTCTTTAGATGTTGCAATATTTGCTGAATGAAATGGTTGCTTTCGTTGCATTAATGTCGTTGAAATTATCTGCATTCTAACACTTGAATTTTGCTAATATTTGAAGACTTTACATCTTGAATTCATTAAAGTTTTCCCTAAAATCACAGAGATGTGTTGCTGTTTCTTCATTTTGAATCAGTTTAACATACCTGTATGAATTTGAAACCTTGCTTTCTTCGTATATACGAGTATTAGGTATTATTGCATATAATTATAATTAACATTTTAACATAACATAGTAACATAAACACTACTTGTGAAAGTAATGCCATTATGCAGTACTGGAACTATTAAGGCGACGTTTTGCCATTTGCACATCATCATCGCTCTCTGCACAGCTTAAGCTCATGCTGATGCTGCGTTTTGTACCACACAAACTGTCATTATTATCCGATCTACCATTTTTTTCATTGCCATCATTTTTATTGTTGACATCTTCAGGATTACTCTCACTGGTCGAGGGAGATCTAATACGTTGATTTTCTCGTAAAAATTTTGCTGCTGTATTGCTTATAACGCGTATGCTTTTGGATATTGAAACTTTAACAGATGACGCTTCAGGTGGCACTAAAGATAGTGGTGGTGTCTTTGTGGTGCGTATAGATGCTGAGGTACTGTAGGGAGATGATGCATTCGTTAACGATCGCTTTCGCTGTGAACTGTAACTGCCTGGAGATGATGCATTGTGTTCCTCATCATCTGAAGATGAACGTTGCAGGTTTTGTATTAGGCAGAGTACAGCTCTCTCCAATTGTAACGGATTTTCTGAAGCCGGTACATCGATTAATGAGCATTGTGGTATTTGCTTATTTACAATGACCGCATATTTAATTTTCATATCCTGGACTCTACGTTTCCCTTCTGATTCATCAAGTAAGGTATTTACGCATATAAATGAATGTACTTCATTTGTTTCTTTATCAATTTCTAAATATCCTTTTGATTGTAAATAGATAAAGTGACCATTACGTGTAAGTAAACGGTACGTGGACTCTCCATAGGAACTATTACAATCGTACACTATAATAAAACATTACATAAAAATACTTTTTTATATGTAGGAGTTTTGATGTACATACTCTGTCTTAAAGCTACTATAACCCATCTGACATCATCTTGATGTATAAAAGTGAATGGACTCAAGTTTCTTACTTCATCCGTCATATAACCAGCAACTAAACCAATGCGTTGATCGCAGTCGATAATACGACCATCTATTAAGTGCCTTGTTTTATATTCCAACACACTAACATCAGCAACACGATTAATAATTTTGGGTTCTCTTATAATGCGAGCGACAGCTACAAGTACCTTTATAATGGATAAAATTGATATAAGTGTTATCAGCTTTTAACTAATGGATTTGTCTTCGATTAACTTACAATATCATTTCCACTGATTGTATGTAATGGTATTGAATCATCACGACCTCTTGTACGACGGATCAATTGTAAAGTTGATGGAAATGTATTGGCTTTAACACCACGCGGTGCACAATCACTTCGACGGAAACTACCATCGATTCTAATAAGCTCGTATGTGGTGGGTTCAGAACGTGGTCCAGCACGTGCAAATCTATAAAAAATAATATATAACACTTATTAATATATAAATTAAACATCAGATTGTAATATGTTTTAACTGTGTACCTAACAGTAAAATTTCGTTTATCTTCACGCAGTTTTGTATCAATATACTCTTCTTCGGCCTGTGTTCGGGGTTGTGGTTCTGAGCCATTTTCGGTCTGCACGTCAAAAAGTGTGTCTAAATTATTAGGTATGAGGTGCTGTTTGAGCATAGCATGATCCTCTGGATGTGTTATATGCAAGATATTTTGACCATATAAATCAGCCTAGAATTAGTAAAAAAATAATTTATTAATAAGTATATTATTATAATAGGTAATGTTTTTCGACAGTTAACAGCTACTTCAAGTATGAGCTAATTATGATAATGGTATTATGATTTTTGTTTATTAAACATAAAAAAATGTAAAGTTAAAGATGTATTCTTATATTATTACAGATTTATTTAGGATTCAAAGTAAATATTAATATTATAGTCAAGTAGTCGTCGCAACTTATAAGGAGTTTTGTACGAAATTACCATAACCGTAATTGAAATGAAATTAATTATTATATCTTAAGCTGTTAAGAAAGGGAATTCTTTAAAAAAATTTATGGTCCAACGTATAAACGTAAAAAGATGATCTGTGCTACATACTGTGATGCAGTCATAAGATACGTGAAAATGAGGACATATATGTTCTTCATACCAACTATTTTGAACTTTTCTTCTCTTCTGGATCTTAAGAGATCTATTAAAGTCAATCTTATAAAAACTTGTTTTCCAATTTTTACTATTTCGACAATTTTGAGTTGTCAGAAATATTCATATAACTCGTAACTCAAATTGATAATTGATAAATGCATCGACATCTCATTCAAAGCTCCACGACATTTCAAGAAAATCTTAGATGTTGTGAAAACACCTGATTAAGGCATAATAACCATATAAGTGTGAAAAAGTAAACATTTCTCGTGAGTTCCTATCACTTCAATCTTAGAATTATTTCTTTAAATTCTCACTTTTAATTTTCTTCTAAATTTCTCTTCTCTCGGTTAAAAAAAAACAATCACTAATGCAACTGCAGACTGCAAAATAATTCAATGATTAAATGCAAAGCTACTTGAATAAGGGAATTGTCACGTACTCCGTAAAAAACTTGCGTAATAAAAAGCAATACAATCTTCCACAATTTTTCCAAACATCAAAGACGAATTTAATGGCATTAGAACAGCACAATTGTGTGAAAAGTTGATCTCCTTTAATTAATTTATTTAAGTAAATATAACAATTTCAATAATAGACTTTAATTATATTATATATATTATATTCAAAATTTTAAAAGATTTCTACAAAGTCTTATGAGTGTGCCAAGAATTGAACATTATTCACGGTAAAGCTATTAACAGTCTAGTTATCTTCACATACCATTGAATACTGGCGTCATGTGTCTTAAGATGGCATGCAGGCGATTTACTATAAGTTATTAGAATTCGAGCTTTAAATATCTACTTTAAAATTACTACCCTTGTAGACGGTCAGTTAGTAATAAAGACAATTGAATTCAGAGTGGCCAGATTGCGAACTAAATTTTATTCCTACCTAATGTACACTTAGTATCCCAAGGCATATGTTTTATGCGTTTCTGGATCTAGAGGTTTCAAAAAGAACGAACTAACAGATAAAATGGCTTAAATAAGCTATGAAACATACATATATGACGGCCACACCTGAATACAAACTTTGATAAGTAAACTATATAAACTATATAAGAAAAATTACTTATGGATTCATCTTGTAGACTATGAAGTTGCTAAGAATATATGGCCTTGATCAGATAGGAGAAGAATGAAAGATGTTTTGAATTTTATCCAACCTGTCATTGTGTGCTAATAGAGCATTAACGGGGCACATTACTGTTACATAGGTACTTCAAGGGTGGCATATTCTAATAAATGTGTTTCGATGTCATTACCTTAGACTACAGACGATGCCACTTCAATGTCTCAGAGACTGTTTCTTCACTGTGCTGCTAGAGTTAACAAAGGTATATTAATCGTATTTCCTTGACTTTATATGAAAGAATATATGGTTTACTATCAGTAATCTAACGAGATATGTTGGAAACTGTATTGAGTAGGTTGCTTCCCATTGTAGTAACGTTACAATGGGTAATAGATTTTGATGTTTGTGTTAACACATGCCCTTTCAATCTACCCTAATCTATTCAAGAAGTTATATGTTATTAATAAATAATATATTAAGGTATAAGGAACAACACATTTTTATTGTTCTGTTTTCTAGAGTGAATGACCTAGTAGTCCATTTCCTTCTAAGTTAATTCTAAGTTAACTTTAAAATTAATTTTAGTGTTAACTCTTAGATAATAAATAAATAATAAATATTCTGTTTACTTAATTCAAATTTAAAATTAACTATCGAGTTTGTTAAAATTTTATATAAATATGTAGTATAAGAGAACTATTGTTTGAAATGCGCCTTACCTGACAGTGTCCCAAATGTTGTTCTATACTGGACGAAACGAGCACAATTTGACCATGACAAGTTAATGTTAAAAAGAAGCTATCTAATAATTTCATTAGAGTGTCTGTAAGTTGTGGACGCGGATGATGAAGTGTGTTGCCAAATACTGTATGGAGAGAAAACAAATTTATATTGTTTATAATTTATTTTAAAAAAGGAACTTAAATTACAAGAGTACTTACCATATTGTAAGCGCAGTCCATGTGCTGCGAATCGAAGGACTGCAGTTTTATCAACGCGCCTGGGAGATTCGGCAACGTGTGGCACCATTGTTGATAGCTCCTGTATTGAACCATTTAATTTATCGCGGCGATTTTTCTCTGCACGATTTCTCGCTTCACGCCCACTGTGCATGCAAAGAGAGCATAAGAGAATATTTCATAGAGCGTTAATGATTTTCCGATAATCATTTGTTATATTAGTTGTTAACTACTGTTCGTGCTTTATATTTCAATATTTATTTATTTCATTTTCTTCAATAAATATTTATGAATTGAAATGTGGTGAGTGTGTGTGTGTATGTAAATGTGATGCCGCATAAACATTACGTACAAGTATGTATACTCGTTCATTTGTATGATTTACTGTGCCGCCTACAAAAACAACACAGCGGAGCTTGTAACGTTGTTGGTGGCATGCTTACATAGATTACATAAGAATGTATTAAAACTTATATATAAATTTATTTAAAAATTTATTTATTACATAATTTTTAAATGATCTATTAAACATGTACTGAATACATGTTTAATTTTAATTTATTTACTAATATTTGCGTGAAAATAAAGGAAAGCGGTTGTAGTTTAAGTCCCCCATCTACCAAGAAATATGACATAGATGCGATATGATTGGTTGGTTGCTGTGGCAGTTCATTGGATTTACTTCCATGTACCCCAATTAGCGGTTTTTCCCCGTTTTGCTAACACATTCCTCGCAATAGGTGTAGAGACTAAATCCATCCTGTTGAATTTAGATATAATTTAATACGTCTCTAGTCTTTACCAATGAACAGTCTGATAGACTGTCAAAAAGGTATCTTTCTAAAAATCTATTTCTTTTGAATGCCAAACCTGGGCATTATGGTCTCTTTCCTGCGGGTTTTCACAACTTCTACAGTGAGGATTATAAAGAACACACAGTTTCTCTGCGAGGGTTCCTATTTACCAATGTTCTCTCTGAACTGCAGTAAGGCTTGCAGTGTTCACGCCGTCTCTTTTGATGAGTTCCGAGGATCTAATTTTATTATAGGTGGGCCATGATAACCTGGAAGTTGCACATGACTTAAGTGGTTTCCATCGGTTATTGGCAAGTTGAAGGAAGTAGAGATAAATATTACTCTTAATGGTCTTTAGGGTAATATACTGGTACCGCCAGGGACACAATTAGGGAAGCACCGGAGCGGGCTGAACTGTCAGCTTTGTCGTTTCGCTCAATGTTTGCATGTCCAGTTAGATAGACTCCCATGTGAGAGTGATGCCATATAGTTAGATAGGAGACGAACAAGCTTGGTGTAGGAGTTGAATTGCACAAGTCTAAATTTATACCGGACCACTTATCGTATGAAGTCTCAAGCCAACTTAATGTGTGCCATTAAACAATTAAATATAAGAACGATGTCAGGCTATGGATGACTAGTTATTGTTTAAATCTTCTGCAGAGTCGATTTAGAATATATTAGGGAGATGGCTATGGACAACTGAGTTATAATATATGCGTGTCAGTTTTATTTGTGTTCGCCAATAGCAAAAGACGGAACTATCTATAGTTCTATAATAACAAAATGAAATAATTGTATGTAGGTACTTTAAGAAGAACAGATAGGAATAGCACAAGTTATAGAAAAAGCCATTTGTTGCGAAGTTGTTCTTTGAAAGCTATTCGAAAGAAAAATATTCATATTTCTTTATCTAAATAATCATACTTAAAAAGATTTAAAGATTATTCTTCAAAGTCAGCTGAGTAAACAGTCTTTTTAGATCAGCAAAAACGTTTTCGGCAATAAAAGGCAATGTTCTTTTTATGTTTAGATATTTCTAGAAATGTTTATCCAGACACAGATTTATATAGCAATATTCATTGAGATTGAGATATCTATTTTGCATAATGATAATCAAAAAATTGTTAAAATTATGAGATATACTTGCCAAAAATACTTTTGTGACAGGGGTCAACTATTACTTATCATATGATAAATATAAAATGATATTTATTTGTTCAAAAAAAAAAAAAGATAGGAGTCTCGATCATCTTTAGTGTTGACTGAGATCAAAAAAGTGTCAAAGAAAATTTTTTTCAAATAAAACCTTCAATTATCAAAATGTCAATATCTTATAACCTCGATACTTCTAATGCATGTATTTATGTGTAACTAGAAAGTATCATTAATAAAACTAAAGTAAACCAGCTAAAATATCCTATGTTGAGAACTTGATTGGACTTCTCACATTTTTACTTTTTTGCGACGGAAATAAAAATATTTAATAATAGGTTTGGTTTTTGTCAATTGTTATGCAATTACAAATAATTACAGAAAAGCTAAGAGTTCTTTAGTTGATGACCTATATAATTGAGTTGGGGTAGCAAAAAAGAAAGTAAACAATAAAAGTCGTTGTAATAAAAAAGTGTAATTGTAATTATATTTATAAATACATACACATTGAACAATACAAATTTTTCTTTATTATTAAATACAGATTTTTTTACTAATGCATTTATGTATATATACTTGATTTTATTACAACATTATCACAACCTCGTTGAGTAAGTTTTTATTTTAATCTCTATGAATTTATAGTGCAAAATGTCAACATTATTGGATAAGTAAGATTATACACGAGTAATATATAGTTTGAAGTATACTAGAATTGTCACACAAAATTGACATATAAAGCGAAGGGAGTTAGGCAGTATATTCCATATAGTCGATTATTTTGCAATTTGTGGAACTTTAAAGGATGAATGCTGAGCGGCACTCAAACATAATTAACACAGAGATGGATCTAGACAATTATTTATCTATAAATTACCCTCAACTATATCTACTAATCCTAGTACTAGTTTACGAGACTTGATTTTTTATAATTGTTGCATTTGGAGCATTGGGCGAAAAAGTTTTTGTATGTCTTTATTTTATATGTCACAGAAAATATGTTTTAAAACCAATCAATTCTCATTTCTTCCAATTAACAATTGTAACATGAAGCTTCACAATTCCACTTGAGCTTAAATAATAGCCCGTTTTGATACCACAGATTAGTGTTGTTCATAAGCAAACCAGATGGATTCCCGAAAGAACCGCAGTGGTTAGCGTACAAACAATCTTGAAATATGCCACTCCCACATTCAAGTAAAAGTAAACCAACCTGATAATTCCATAAACTTGGCCAAGCTTTTAAACTTGCAGAATGACTGCAGTTTTATACAGCTCGCCTTTTTAGTTGCTCGCCACCAAAAAGACCGCCTTGTGAAGAAGGATTGATTGATTGATAGTTATATAGAACCAAAGCATGATTTGAGGGGAAAGACTCCATCTGAAGGTCTTCTTCGCAGTAAATACCACATGTACCTTTACGAACACTTTCAGCGAAGTTTACCTTCTGAGTTTGGAGTCATAGATATGAATCAGCTACTTGACATAAGCACTTAACCCGAACGAAGTGCCTTTAATCTTGTTTTAGAAAAAGGGTGGGATTTTATGCCTTCTATTGAAGAGTATAACTTTTGTTTTTGTTGCGCTAACCCTGAGAATGCAGCACTCTGTCACAGTGGCGAGTGGAGACTTAATAATATTGAATAGTACCTGGGAAAATTTACCCGATGCAACAATAGCAATGTTATAAGCTATAAGCTATAACACTATCCTAGCTTTATTGACTTATTAATAATTTAGTATAATTATGGCGATACTGTATTAATTTGAGTAGATATTTTTTCTTATTAATATGTGTAAATTCGATATAATTAAAAGCTTTCTTTATTAATGCATTTAAGTTGACCTATTTCAGTTATATTTAAAGTGTAACTAACTACATATTAGAAAACTTGTATTTTCTAATACAAGTATGAAAATGTATTAGTATATAAATAAATATAAATATATTTATTTATATACTAACTAATACTAATACTAACTAATAATGAATATATATACTAATATGTAAGGAATTTGTATTTTGTTTTAATTTATTTCAACATATTATACTTTTCCACAAATTACTATCTCTTCTGAACTCTTATTTACTTTTGTACCTTTATTTTTTTCCTTCAATGTGCACTACTAAGTTAAAACTTCCCTCTTCAAATAACAGCTACTGCACCGTATGTATAATTGTGTATATATCATTAGTTTATAATATGTACATATATCTAAAATGCATTCTAAAATGTATCTATACCTAAAATATTAAAATATTCTACCCCCATTCGCACTCCAATACATTTCTTTTTTTGTTTTTTGTTGTATATTAATATTTATTTTAAACAAAAATTTGAAGATATTGAATACAAATTATTTTTCAAACTAAAATAAGAGTTTTCTTTAAAAACTATTTCATTCTTCATTAAACAATGTACTTTTGATATATAAATATATTAAAGCCTATAATCTAGTCAATAAAACGGAATTTATAATATACGAACTAAAATATCATGCTCTTTTACCTACTTCAGTTATAAGATTTGATATAAAATTTGATAGATTTGATATAAAGATTTTTTAATTCTCTGATATATAGTTTTTAGTTTTATTAAAAATCTCAAATGTCACTCATACGCAGTGATAGCTCGACATTCTTACGAAATTGATTGCCATAAAATGCTTTCATAATAGACAAAAGCAATAAAGCAATATAGTATATAAATCACTTTAAATAAGATATTTATTTGTAATTATTCTTTAGTTAAAAAAGGAATACTTTGGGTATTTTTAAAATTACAAAATGCGCAATTATTGCACAATATATACGCAAAATCCGATAGAAATACTCAGAGAACTCATAAGTTACCTAATAATTACACAAAATAATAATCAGAGCCGAATGTTATTAATTTCGCTGGCATAAGTGCAGTGCAAAGTTCCAAAGTAGCAAATCTGTCAGCCAATCTACTAAGTCTGCCCAACACCTAGCACCCAACACCCTTCAGCTCGAATGAGTACCCACTAAAGATACATTGTATAATAATTTGCACTTACAGTATCATAGTCGCGCAAACTGAAGTGGAAAAGCTTCAGCCGCTTGAAAGGCGGCTGCACTTTTTCAATATTTATTTTTGTGCTCATTATTGTTATTGTTGCTAATAATACTTGTTGTTTCTTTGCATTATAATATGTTTTTGTTTTTGCTTTCGTTTTTGTTTTTGTTTTTGTTTCATTTGTTTTTTCTTTTTTCGTGTAAAATGCAACATTGTTGTTATCGTGCTTTCCAGACAGAATTCAATACGTTACGAATAACACCAATACATACATACATACACACATGCATACATACATAGAAGCAAGCGCACATTTGCATTTTTGTTGGCTTGCACTTGTTGCCGCGAGAATGTAAGCCCGTAAAAAATTATAATTAATTCTCTTTTTCATTATTTAATTAAAATAATTCTGTTTAAACTTTTCTTATTCATAATTATTATAAATTTACACATACATATATCTGTGTATTTATACACATTTATATTAAAGGAATTACAGTGGAGATTTGCAAGTTATACAATCATTTTATTGCAGTCGCAGCAAGCAACGCCAAAATAAACGTGATTAAACCGTGTTTAAATGACACTCTGCATATATTCCATTTGAATATGATACATTTTATTCGAACTGTCAACACAATAATCATTACTGTGCATTGCTATTCATCAAAATATAATATATATACGAGTATATATACTTGGAAAAGAACAAGAGAGTTTGATACAAAAATACAAACTTTTGTGAACAAATATGGTGTCCCAACCGCATTACAAACACCAACCTATTGGCCGTTACGAATCATTCACCTGCTAGGCTACAATCTCCGCAGATCCAATGAAAACATTTCACGCCAAGCTCTGAGGTGGAGTCCTCAACGCAGCCGTCAACCTGGAGCGCCGGTTAAAACTTGGAGGAGTACAATTGAAGAAGCACTAAGAGAAGCCAATTATTCCTTGAATAATATCTGCCGAGAATTAAATAACAGAATTCGATATAAAAGGATGGTAGAGGCCCTATGCTCCACTGAGACATGAGGATAAAATAGATATAAACTGTATACCGTGTATACATATACTGTTACTCTTTAAACACCATTAGTAGGTGGTCAAATATAGATGTAGAACTATTTTCTAGGTGAATTGCAAAGAATTTATGCCGAAAAATTTGTCATCCACTTAAACATACAGATATCAAGCTTAAACTTCAAATAGAAAGAGGATAAAGAGATCATTTACAACACATATATAAATGTACAGGCTTAACATCATTAAGACGTTTCACTATACAAACTCCATGAAGTAACCCATTCTCTGAAGAGAATAATTTTATTTATTGCGAAGAAGTTTTTCTTAATATTATCTTAGGGTGATACAACTAGTTTTTATCCGTACAGTTATGGTAAAGTATTCAGCAGAAAAGAGTTGACGTCACTGGTGGGATATTTAACGGGTTACCATGGACTGCGTTATCACCTTAACAAAATGGATCTGTCCGAACAGATAGATTGTCGACTCTGCTTAGAAGCAGAATGTGACTGCCCAGAGCTCCTCAACAGCTCCTTGGACAGCTCCTTGGAAGGCTGTCTTGTGGAATGCCTTCTATTCGGTTAAGGTCTGTTGCGGCACAAAAGATTAACCATGAACGCAGTGCTCCGTTTCATTGGGATCTGGTACCCCATTTATTTCTATTGCAATCTTAGGGTGAATGGTAAAAAAATAGCATTTATATTACGTTTAGGTGAAAAAGAAAGATTGCAGCCATCAAAATCAATTAAACCAATCATGGAAAATTATAAAAATCGAAGTTAATTTGTGTATGTACATAGTCTCAGCATTCAGACTATGAATTTTGTTTTATTTAAAATGAAATTGTAAAATCCGGCGGTATCACACAAACACCGTGCCTTTAAGAGGGGACCACTTATATAAGTAAATGGAAACCAACCTAATAAATCTAAAAACTTGATTACTTTACTTTACTTAAAGGTAAAAGTTCGAAACATTTAGCATACAAACACCGTCCCTTTAAGATTGCGTCATTCCATCTATTCAAGTAAATGGAAACCAACCTTATTAATTTAATCTAATTCATCATATCTCAGATTTTAAAGGATGACTGCTCTGATCAGAAACCATGTGGCTTCTTCGTAGTGCAAATTATTAGAAAAGATTCCACTACCACTGAGAAAAGTTAACACTTAGTTAGAGCCGACAGCGAAAAAGGCGAATGCTGTATAAAGAATTATATAAAGAATATTATAAGATTATATTAAAAGTAAAAATGGCATATCGTGGCCCCTGAGACCCATAGTTTTATGCTTAAAGAAAGTCTCCTAATCCAACTTAAGCACAGATAAAGGATATTAATAATCTTATAATATCTTTTTGCTCAAATTTTCATACGACTTTCGGTTTAATAAATCAAAAGAAATAATTATAGAAAGTATTAGAGAAATTCAGACAGAAAAGGGAGTTGAAAATTAATTAAATAAAAATATTTTAAATATTTAAAATCGACTTAATTACTCAATTAAAAAAAAATTTGAAGAGAAAATTTTTAAATTAATAAAGTCGTGACCCTTATTTTTAATAGTTAGTATATATTCCATTTATATAATATATATATAAAGACATATATATGAGTGGGAGCATCTTATGCTAAAAATACTCGAATACGTACTTAAAGTTTTGTTTTCGAACTACATTTTATTTTAATAACCTAATTAAATGCTAATAAACAAGTGAATTCCCAATTCTCCACGCCGTAGCAGATTTTTTTTATTGATAAACAAGATATCCATAAAAAGATTTATTCAATTACAATAATATGATTATCTTTCAATAGTCCTTAATTTAGCTAATGCAAAAGTGTTCCACTCTATCTAACCACAGGGTTCCCTGCACATGTTTCAGAAAGCATCATTTGTATGTTTATTCTTCAGTTTGTGCTGCGTCACTGCGTCACTGCGCCAGGGTGTTGGTCGCAAATCTGCTTGAATGCGACATCAAGCAGACGCAATGATATTTCCGTTTACAAAGCAAATTACCGCAGCACGTGTTTTAAAAATACATTTATAACATTATAACGAAATATGTCCTTAAGTCTACTCTCCTACACCTCTTTTCAAATCTACTCGTAAATGATCTAAATGGTATGTTTTAAAAGTTTGCTTCACTTACCTATTGGATAACTGTAACATGTCCATCATGTGGTCATGAGCATAACCACTATTGTTGTATTGAGCAACGCGATGTGATGCATACGTTGCACCATACCCACCTCCAGTACCGTAAGGTGCATTTGGATGCCACATATTAGGAAAGTTCGGTGGATGCTGTGGGTAAGAACCGTATGGTATTGATTGGACAGGAGCAGGTTGTTGTGCGGCATAAGCTGCCTGAAAGCTGGGATGCATGTGGCGTGGGTACTGGGGCGGACTTGTGTAAGAATGTGGTTGCTGTGGATGGTTCTGTTGTGGTGAATAATTGTAGTGATAGCGCATTTGGGCTGGTGGTGGTGGGAATAATATATCGCTGGGTGTATACTTCATTTCTTGTATTGGTGTTGTTGCTGAGTTATTTGTTGGTGAGTAGAAACTTGCTGTATCGCTTGTTTCATAACTGGAATAATCTGAATCGATTCTAGAGTGATTTTCGTCCACAAACTTCTCTTCTTTTTCCCAATTTTGGTAATTATAGGTATTTGGAGATCTATCTACTTTCTCTGTTTTTCCAATTATTGTATTATAGTTATTTATGGCTTGTGTAGAGTTGGCGTTATTATCTTCGGCATAATAAGGAATGTTTGTTTTGTAGTCTTCTTCAACATCAGAGGTATATTTTTCCGTATGTGTTTCTGATGAATTCAATGTAGTTGCTGGATCAATTTGTCCGTTGCTTGGTTCCATTGCTAGATTCTATAATAAACAAAATAAAAGTTGTCACTTTGTAATATCGTTAATTAGATATTTAGTTTTAATTTTATATATTTTGTGAAAATTTGATATTTATATATAAAACTATTAAATTTGCATATATTATATTGAAGAATATTGAACAAATATAAGGACTGGTTGGTTGGGTTGTTAAAAATGATAATGCATAGTTTTTGAATAAAATCATTTTCAATTACAAAGTTTACTTTCGGATAAATTTATCTACATATGTTTATTATTATTTATGCTTTCATTACTGTATGTAGCAAATCTGAAGTCATTTGCTTACACATATGATATTATTTAATTTTGTTACTCATACGTCACTTGCAATATCACTATGACTTTTTTCGATTCAATTGTTGTTTTAAAATGGCAAATTATGATAAATATAACAACAGTTACACATCTCGAGCTGTAGGATAATATGAAAGATTGTTTAATATTAACTTGGTAACAGAATATCACTTCTTTTTTATTCTTTATTATAAGGGGCAAAAGACACCTTACACGCAATGTGGATGCCTACTCCAGAATTTTATAAAGTAAATCACAAATTATTTATTATTGAAACAAATAATGTTAAACTTTGTTTTATGGTAAAAAATAACTTTATAAATAGGTTTTCACAAAAAATTTGTAATATTATTTTAATTTTTCTAGCATTTAGTTTCCTTCTGTGCAATTGAAATTATGATATTAATATAGTAAACGACTTAAACGACTCAGAGTTTTTATTATATATCAATATAAAGATATTGAATAAAGATATTAATAATTTTACAAGTATTTAAATGACAGGAAGTGCGTAGATCTACGTCAAACAGATCTACGCCTAAAATAAGGATTTTATTTGCCGTTAAACAGCATTGACACTTCGTTTCCTCTTCTCAAACAGATCCTGCCAACAGATAACTTGTCAACAGCCTCTTTTCTACTAAGGCTGGATGCCTAAAAAGTTTGTTAGAAACAGTAACAGATACAGTCTATAAATTTACTATTCAACCTTAAACGATTTAAAATAAAAAAATTCCAAAAAATCGAACTGAAGTGAAACTCTGCAAGTATATCAAATTTTAATAAAATATAGAAAACATAATTAAATTAGAGTTCTTGCAGATGATATTATCTAAAGAGAACATAATTAAATTAGAGTTCTTGCAGATGATATTATCTAAAGAGAACATAATTAAATTAGAGTTCTTGCAAATGAGATTATCTAGAAAGTGAGTTTCAACCTTGTTTAATCTTTTAAATATTTCGTAAAGTTCAGGAAAAGCTGATCTTGTATCAAAAAAAAAAAAAAATTTTGTATTACATACAGTTTTCTTCTGTAATTTATAAAAAAATTGTATACGAAATAAAGATATACAACAAATAATTTTTGAAAGATCGAACAGTGAACTGCAGCAAATTAAAAATTTAATGGATACTTAAACCGGATTGAGTTGTTTTTTATAATTATTATTATATATGCAAAGTCTTTGCTTCTGTTTCATTTTTTTTTACTCAAATATTATACTGTAACTCCTTGAACTCCTTAAAGGTTTTTTCAAGGGTATTCAAAATGATTTTAATCGATTTCCTTCTTTTAGCTAATTGCTGATCGTTATCATCTTAAAATGTTTATTGTTTACATATGTTATTTGGGCTTTTTCCTAATTTTGTGCCTATAATTGTGATACATGTTTACTGATTATTGAAGTTCGCTAACATGTTTTAGTGCTGGTATGTATCCCAATCGATAGAGTGACTCATAAATTTCAGATTTAGTATTTAAAATAAAGCACTTAATAATGTTTTGACCAAACAAAGCTGCTAAATGGCCGAAACAAGGCACAAATATGTGCATAAAGATTAAAATCTGTTCAGATATGTCTGTGGCAAACATGTATACAACGTACTCGTATTTGAATAATGCAAATTATTTTCAAAAATATTATTGAACATCTTCACAAATATCCAATATCCATAAAAATAAATACATTCGAATAAAGAATGAAACCAACAAGTTTGGCTTTATTTAGTTTAATTTGATATCTTGATATTCTAATTATTGTTTTGTATATTTTAGTTATGTGGCACATACACACAAATATATTTGTGTACATTATACATAATAGGCGAATTAGCATTTTAATATGAAATTATTTTTTTAATCAGATATGTGTGTATGTACTGGGTATGATTTGCGATAACGTCGAGCAGAGCATAACAAACGAACTAAAAAAAAAATATACGCAATTGCTGCAAATTAAATAAAAACTATTGTATAATAGTTATAAAGTAATTTCAAACTAAATAGAACCTAGACAACAAAAGCACTCTAGTATTTGTTAATACTCTAGTCTCAGT